AAATATATACATATACATATTTTTTACATAATAATTACCACATACATAACATTTGTATGTGTTATAGTTGTATGTATGCAGTTTTCATTACATTTGCAGTCTCGTTGAGTACAAAACAAAAAAACTTAAATTGAAAAGCAATCAAACTTTAAGCGATTTAGAAAGAAGTTTAATAACAGCTGCTAAACACAGGTATTTCATATTGTAATTTTATATATGTACATACATATAAATGTTTCTGATGTTTTTCAAGAATTTTGAGCGAATTTTTTAATTGTTTTTGAATTTTGTTACATGTATGTACATAGTTTTATTTTTTAGGAAGATCTATGTGATTTGTAACTCAAAATCGAAAGTTTCAAATTTGAAATTGGGTTTTGCGGCTTAAAATCAAGGATCAAGGCGATCGAATTATATAAAAAATGCCATAAACATTAAATAAGGCTAAATAAAATTTAAAAAAATGTCTGAAATTAAATATAATTATTTCTTTTTCTAAAATGTTTAATAATATTTTTTATTTTATTTGAAATTATTATGGCTTTTGCTAATAACTGCTTCAATATCAGTTATCAGCGCAGCTGATCGCTGAGTGTGAACAGCGCGCATTAGCCATGTTCGGTAATCATTTTTTACATTTGTATGTTACCTTGTTTGCATGCATACTTACAACAACGTTATCTCTGTGATTTTTATTTTAATTTTTTTTATATCTGTCGATTAGATAGCTTGACTTGATGTGGACAGTGCGCCACCTGTCTCTTATACACATCTAGATGTGTATAAGAGACAGATATTTATTTATTTTTATTATTATTATATTTTTTTTCTTATTGATTTTATTATTATTTTTTGTATCTTTTTTTTGTTTTTGTGTAATTTTTATATGGTTCAACTTTTTGTTTTGCGGCTAAGCCATTAGACTCACAGCACTTAAGAGAGTATATTATGTATTTATGTAAACCTATCTATCAACGGTATGTAGTATATAGTAAATAGATAGTTGAAAATGAAAAGAAAAGTTAGGCTACAACTAGAAACAATAATTATACATACTTTTTTTTACACATACAGCTACATATCGATAGTTAACACATTCAGAAAGTTCACACAAAATAGTAGAGGTGCTTATAATTCAATATAAAAATATATGTACATATGTATTTTTCATAAATTTTGTATAGTTTGGTATAAAGTAAAGTGATAGTGGGTAGGGAAGTTGTATATGTATGTGTGTAGATTGAGGATTTTTTGTGTATTTGCTTTTTTTTAAATATATTTTTTCAAATTTGTATATGAAATCAAACCGAGTTCCATGTAGAATGTAAAGTTGTAGATTTGCTTTGTATAATTAGGTGGTTATGCCTAGTTATATGCTATATAAGTATGTTGTTTTTGTATTGAGGACAAAGTGTGCTTGTATAGGTTCTAAATGTGTGTATATACTACATATGTGTGTATATACTATATGTATGTATATATCCTATACATATATGTATGTGTGTATAGTGTGAGTGTTTGTTTGTTTACTTTTGAAATACCATATGTCTGTCTGGATATTTTCATAGCAATGATAGTTGAATTCCCTATTTAAGTTTTTTTGTTTGTTGATTTTGTTTTCTTCAAAATATGTATACTGTGTTGCTTCACATGAAATGCAACAACACTAGCGCTGATATCTTTGTTTTGCAGGTTGTGGTTAATGCGAAAATAATTAATAAGCAGACAAACGTTTTGCGGGTGAAAATATAATTAAAATTGTAAATATTTCAAATCATTTTTTTTAGCATGCTAAAATATAACAAAAAAAAAAAATAGATATTAAAAA